AGTGCATTAACAGTTCATATAAACAGATTATCTCTACACTGTAAGAAATGTTCATGTTAGGTGTCACCACAGTGTTACAAGCCCAGAGTAACAGTGTGTCAGCACACTGTAACAACCCTCCAGGTTAACAGTGTCCTCATGTGACTGTCTGGAAGCACCATGACTCAAATTTTACTCAGCTTATTAGACTGAGTTAATGTTGCCCTCTCTTACTCCTCTCCTCTCCTCTCCTCCGCAGTGATTTCTGTTTTCATGTTCACTCATGAATAATTTTACCAGCTCATACATTAGTCATGTTTGACTGGCATGTCACTAACGAGGCTTGTTACCTCTCAGCAGTCAGTATGTGAATGAGTGTCAATTTACACAGCTCTGTGTTAATATAGATGGTAGGGATTATACCTGATTATTCACTTGTTAGCATTATAAACCACCTGAACTAAAAATAAACCAATAAACAAGCCATGTAAAGTATGACAATTTCAGCTGCTGCATTAAGCATGAGAAAATATTCTCCTTTGTTGTTCTCAGCAACAATTTTAGTCATGTCCTCAGGAAATCTCCCTAAAGGACTAGGAACACCAACTTCAGTCACTTTAATCTGTGTGTATTTACAGCGAGGTTCAGGGTGTAATTAGCCTAGCTCAGTCAAAACATGAATATTTTGTCATTTTCAGTATGAAAAATAATTTATAAAAACAAACTTGAGATCCCGGCACGAACACAATTCACTTATCAATAATGAGGACAAGCTAAACTCATATTAGCTAGCGAGCCGAATGTGTCATTTTAGAGCCCTGCTGTACGCTAAATTATATTCTTACAGTTAATTTGAATTCATTTCACAATCCCACAAGCTTGCTGGCTAACAAACATCCTAAGATTAGCCTATTTTAAAGGAACACTTCAAGTATTTATGAAATTGTCTTTTTCTCTTCAAATTCAGATTAGAAGGATGGATATTAGTTTAACCGAAACCGTAGTACCTATCTCCTGTACTTAGATGCTCACAAATTAAAACATACCATCCTTCTAATCGAATTTGGAAGCAGAAAAAGACAAGTTTCAAAATACTAAAGTGTTCCTTTGAAAAAATAGCTAAATCTTAGGATGTTGTTAGCCAGCTAAGCTTGGTGGAAATTTGTGAAATATTCAATAATTAACTGTATAGAATATAATTTAGCGCACAGCAGGGCTCTAAAATGACACATTCGCCTTCGCTAGCTAATATTGAGGGCGGCGGTGCGTTTGATTTGTTTAGTACTGATTGCGTTTAGCTTGTCTTCATGTCTCGATTTATTTGATTAAATTGTTCTTTGATATATTGGTTCGTGCCGGTGATCCAAAGTTTGTTTTATAAATTATTTTTTCAATACTGAAAAATGACAAAAAATATTCATGTTTTGACTGACTAGGCGTTATATGTTTTTACAGACCCTGAACCCTCTGTTATAATGTGAACATCTACAAGGCTATAGAAAGTATTGAAGTTTGGTGGCAGTGGCCTAGTCCTTTTTAGAGCATTCCTGAGCGACATTGACTAAAATATTGGTTTGCAGCGTTGATATACAATTGCAAAAGGAGGACAATTTTATGTGAGTCTCAATGTGCTTAATGCATCGATATGTATTTTTGGCATGTGAGCTTGTTAACAGGTTGGTAGGTTGGTGTGGTTTTAATTTTATGTTTTCAGTTTAGGTTTTTTATGATATGTTAACAAGTGAATAACTTTTTTTTTCAAAACATGTATAATCCCTACCAATGTTTGCATTTATAGTTAATACAGCACGATCTGTGGTAAATGTGGAGCGAGGCTCTATTGTTTCATGTTGAGCTGGACTGTGTTTGCTTTTTTTGAGGATGTGGTTAAATTCTTACAAGCTCCTTTTTCTTTTATTTCTTGAGTTAGTTACTATGCCATTCTGAAACGCATTGTATCTTAGTAATGTTATGAGCGGGTAAAAAGATTCGATTTGAAGTGTGTTGGAGTGTTAGTGGTGTGTGTTTGATGTTGGTTGTTTGAGGGATCATGGAAAACAGATAATGATCATCTGCGTGAGGAGAGAGAGGTGAGGAGAGTTGAGAGAAGATTGAGGATTGAAATGGAGAGGTATTTGGAATATGAAGGTAGTAAGATTGATTCTAACGAGTTCGAGAGACTCAGGTCTATAATAAGTCTGATAGAAAGTTGTATCGTTGTATGTTCTTCATGGTTCTTCTCATGGACATGTCACTATTGTATGGGTACATTCCTTGTGGAGGACCTGAGGGGTGTGTGACTAATGTGCTCTCTTATCTACTTACATGTTTGTATCTCGTGGGGTCTTGTATGACAACTGTTGTGTTTTTGCAGGATTCGGGTGTGACTTTTCGCTAAATGCTATTATACTTTCTTATTTATGGCGCTTTGTATGTTGGTAGAAGATAAGCGGTGTTTTCTATTTGAGTTAACTTGTTTATATGCACTGCATTATCACTAGAGCAAGATCTGGGTCCACATTGTCATGGCCATATTGCATGTCCTGCGCATTATACCTATTTATTATTGTCAATGAGTTCTCAATATTCACAGATGACTCTCGGAATTATTTGAGGCTGTGGGTTGCTGTGGGGGGGTTTCATGTTTGGGACCTCAGTGGTATGCTGTATGTTAGTACCTAAACAACTTGCGGCAGTTCGTTTCAACTGTGATTGTGATGAAATAGGTCTCTTGGTTTTTGATTGTTTTTGTTTGGTTGTTTGATGTTCATGATCTTTACTGTATTCTTTTTTTTATGCGCTTCATGCTAGAGGTATCTGATAATATGGACTCGTTAATTCTAGCTTTAATTTTAATAACATACATTTACATTAGTGATAGGTTTATTAATTGTACACAGATTTTATCTACCTCAGTTACGTTTTCTGTGGGGTTATGTTGCTACGCTGTCTGTCTATATCTATAGATGATGTATTGTTTTATCATCTCTTTGCGTTTGTTAGATTATTACCCCGTGTAGATTTATTAATTCGCTGAGACACGCTTAGGTTGGCAGTTAGGCGATCTTTTCACTTACTGATGATTTTGTGCTAGTTGGTCTACTATTTATAATACTCTAGTTTCTGATAGGTGCTGTGTGCGTCTCACCAACATATTGGTGTAATAGTTCGACTAATTAGGTCCAGCTTATTGTAGTTTGTACGTGTTATTATCACGTAAAACATGCGGTCGCTTTCATGTGGTGGGATATTAGGTTGTGATGTCTAGGAGAGTCGTCCTCAAGTCTTATTTTGTCAGACAATCCTGTTGTCGGATCAGAAGAAAACACAATCTGTATATGAAGCCGTTTGTGGTGAGTTCCGCTGGTATGTTTTCGTCATGGCCACTGTAGTTTCCCCGTGTGATTAAGTGTTATGCTTTAAAACTAGGAGAGGTGATGCGTTGTTTCTATTCTTGGAGGGTGAATTTTACATCAGGATACACTTGTATACATTTCCGATCGATTAGGATTATGTCATCTAATTATTCCGGACTAGCGCCGATTGTATTAGTGCTGTTGTAAATTACTAATGTTTAGCATGCGGTCGTATACTTAGCTGTATGTTTTATCCTATAATGATAAGAGGAGGAGATTTACGTACTAGTTATAATTCTTAAGTGTCCAGGTAGATAACGTTGTGCTGTTTTGAGACAAGGAATAGTGATCGAGTCTATATATCGTTTTGAGTGTCGTCGGTTGATGTACTCTCAGATGACAAGGCAAATTACAAAAATTAATATAGAGCTGTCTGCATTGTTCACTGAGTGTCTCTTGTCTCTTGCTTCGTTGTGAGATCTGTCATGGCAGTAAGGCCTATGTTACATATGCCAGTCGTCATGTCTCAGTAGATTAGCTTCATCTATTCTCGATGGGTGGAACAAGCCAAGGGGTCCATAGCTTCTATCTCATTTGTTGGTTGAGAAGTCGCGTAGTGTTTCATTGGGTCTATTGGCATCTGATATTTCATCTTGTGCCCCGCCCCTCTGTCCAGACTAAGCAGCACAGCCACCAACTTCAGCTATGCACAGGTGGATTTTATGTTAGCCGAGTGTTTATAACAGTAAATGAGGTTCTTTTTACTGATGATGTTTTTATTTTGTTTATTTGGGGCAAGGTTTTATGATGAGCGCTTTGAGGTGGTTTTCATTTCGTGTTTCCTTTCATGTCGCGCTTCTACTCTGTTTGCCTCTTTCCTCTTACTCGTTTTCCTCGCGCTCCAGAAACTCTTATTGTTCTACCTCAGTCGGACTGTCTCCTTTTCTCTCTTATGGAACCTCTATCTTTCTCCTCTGCTCTCCTGTTCACCTCTCGTTCCTCCTCCCCCCCTCCATATGCTAGCAGTTGGAGCAGCAGTTCGATTGCCCTCCTCCCGCTCTAATTTGTTTTGGTGAGTCTTTTTTTTAGATTTTGTTT